ATGCCGTGGCCTCGTGGTCTGGAGCATTGAACTCGTGGTCTGTGGGTAGTTCTGCTGGTTGCGGGGTCGAGTCCAGCCTGGGGTTGTGGTGCGTGTGCCCTTGGGCATGACATTATTTGTCTGTGGTGTCAATAGAGGATTGTCTATTGTTCCTCATCATCGATCGTTTCTTTATAATCAACAGCTCTCATTGGTTTTGTGCTCGTTTTGTAATCGAGGCCATCCTCGATTTGACTCCTGTCCTCAATTACTCGATGGTGCTTCACTTCACATGATTGTGTGTCCTCGATTTACACCATCAACATGCACACTTTGTCACTCATTGCTTCTCCCCACCCAGGAGTAGATGGGTACCTGTGAGGGCAGAGATGGTTATTGTGGTTGAGTTTAACTGCTTTGCACCAAAATGGCAGCATCAAGCTGTATACCCCCAGGGAGCTGAGATGGTATTTGGTATGTTTCATTGGCCCAATGATCAGGGGTAACGTAAAGCGCTTGGATCTTATTTAGAAAGCGCTATAAGTGCCCGTTATTATTAACAATTACGGTTAGTGTCCTTGGGCTCTTCGTTTGGAACGTTCATCAGCAAAGGTTTTGATTAGTTCGCTGTAACACATAATCGTATTAATAGTACAGGTACACTGAACTTAATACACAGCTTGGCATAATAATCGGTCACATTATTTGCCGAGAACTTCTAGTGCTATGCGTTGTTTGTTCTTAAGCAGACCTTTAACTCTGTACATATACCCGCATGTTATTCTTGGTTCTGGAGTTGACTCGGTTGGGTTTTTTAGCCGGTCCCTGTCAAGCAAGGTAAAGCCATCTCGGCAGTAGAGGTCGCTATCGTTACAAGTGGAATCTAATCCGATCTTGAGAACTTTGGCAGCGATACCCAGAAAATTCCGAGGAGAGGGGCCTACCTCACGCGCGCTGTACAGGGTTAGTAAAAAAAAAATGGCGCCCCCTGTTTTTAAATAAGTTCTGCATGTAGCAATTTTCAGATCTAGGGTGTGAAAAGTCCAATTAATAAGCTTTCTGTTAGTAAAAGAATCATTCAAATCACGTGTGTACTTTTCCAATTACGGAATTTTAAACACAAACACTGTTTTAAATATTTGTCCACGGCATCACATTTAAGAAAGGTGATATTTCAGTAAATAATATTGAAACCATGTCGCATCATGAACACGGTATCAGAATAATCCCATTAGTCTCCGGGGTAGGGCAAGACTATAAACTCTTGACATTATAAAGCATGTTGTTTTAACATTGGAAGCAGGTGTTTAAATAAAGGTTATGATAAGTGACAGTTACCAAGATCTGATACGCGGTACTCTGTGGAGATATGTGCATAATAGGGAACAAAATATATAGGTCTCCACGGGGCAATTTCTATAGGTGAATACGTCTCCACAAAGTTATCACGAAATAGATGTATGGATTTTACTGAAAGTAGGGATTTCCAAGGTGTGTTGATTTGTCGCAAATTGAAGTATTTTATGTATGGGATATTGGGTCTGAATTTCAGCCCAGGAAAATGAGGAAATTAATTCTGGTTAAAATAGGAGCATTTTGAAACTACACTTTCAAACGCTAACATTTTAGCACACGAGAACAAAGAAATGACTCCGCAAGCATACAAATTTCAGTATGTGTGGTTGTAAGAGTGTTTTGATGTTTTTGGGGGTTTTGGGGGTTTTTTTTAAATGTATTTGTTTTAAAAGTACATAACCGGAAAAGTATGCATTTTTTTTTTGGATATGTGAACTGTTTTCGTTTTTCTGAAATATCACATATCTTTATTGTGATCCGTGGACAACATTTAAATAATGTTTTTGTTTTAAAAGTACATAACCGGAAAAGTATGCATGAGTGATATGATTTTTTGTTTTTTTTACCAATTGGGCTTTCACATCCTTGATCTGAAAAGAGCTACATGCAGAACATCTTTTAAAAATAGAGGTGTCATTTGGGTTTCTTTTTCTTTTACTCGCCCTGTATTCCAGCTAATGCACGCACGTAAGGTGTGCTCGAAATTCCCAGGGTAGCGCTGCCGATGTTCCCAAGATTGGATATGATTGGCCGTGTTAATAGCGACCTCTCATCATACCACGGCGACTTCGCTGCGCTTGTCAGGGACCGGCTGAAATACAGGTAGAGTAAAAAACAAAAACAAAAATGTCAGGAGCGTTTAGTAGAGAAATTCTACATGTAGCACTTTCAGAATCTCGGATACGAAAGCCCAATTCATAAGCTTTCTTTTAGTACAAGAATCATTCAAATCACTCATGTACTTTTCAAATTACGGAATTTCAAACACCGTTTCGAAGTTACGTCCATAGATCACAAAAAGGTAAGTGTTCTCATAATTGTTTTTGCTGAAAGAACACTTCCCTTTTGTTGTGATCCGCGGACAGAACTTGAAAACGGTGGTTGTGTTTAAAATTCCGTAACTTGAAAAGTACATGAATGATTTGAATGATTTTTGTACTAAAAGAAAGCTTATGAATTGGGCGTTCATGTCCTAGATTTTGAAAGAGCTGCATGCAGAACTTCACTTAAACAGTGGTCCTGACATTTGGGTTTTGCTTTCTTTTTTTTACTCACCCTGCGGTACAAAAAACAGTCGTGAATGAAGGCTACCCGCATCTCTGCCAGTCCACTTGGATAAAACGTGGAAGGATACACACGCAGGCGTGAATAGTAGTCGTAAAATTAAAGATAAGGTAACAATAAATAATAGGATAACATCAAATTGTCAAGGTACCCGCTGACAGATTGTATCGAAAATTAATCAACATCAAATTTAATTCTTGACAAGACACTTACGTCTCTGACTCTTTTGTGGTATATATTTGATATAGACAGCGGGGGTTTATTAATGACACATGCTATCTTGTTTGCATTCATCCGTGATGACACCTGTTAACAGTGATCAACTACAGGGTGAGTAAAAAAAAACGAAACCCAAATGGCAGGACCAATTTTTGAATGAAGTTTTGCCTGTAGCACTCTCAAAATCTAGGATATGAAAGCCCCGTCATTAAGCTTTCTTTTACAGTACAGGATGGTTCCAAAAAAAGGACACGCACTTTTGACAGCGATTTCCACCTACTTAATGAACTTATTTTAAATATTTTTTCACATAGTAGTAAAGCATAGGCCTTTAATCATGCACGGTGAAAAAAAGCTTAGTAACAGTCGCAAAGATACTGATATTATGCTAATTTGAATACAAGTCACCAAAAAGAGTCTTGTACACGGGTTATTTTATGTAAATTGGACGTTTTCGTAGTTCATAAAACTTAAAAAGCCTTCCTACCAACAAATATTTTGCACTGGTAACTTGTATTGAAGCTGTCCAATGATTCATGTCAGTGTTCAGATCATCTCTTCAATGAGCTGTCTGTTTAAGTTCATTCTTGCATAACATTACATAACATTGCAATCAAATGTCATGCCCTTTCAAATAAAGCTCCAAAAGCTGAGCTCAGTCAAGCGAAGGGAATGTATACCTCCGTGGACAAATAGGTTTCGCACATGAAATGTTCAAATTAGCATAGCTCATCGACAAAATGAGCAATGCAATGATTTTTTCGTCACATTTGCTTAAGGGCCAGTACTTTAATAGCTACTAATCGACAGTTAAAAATAATGTTTAGAAATAGGTGAAAATTGCTGTCAAAAGTAAGTGTCCTTTTTTGTTTTAACCACCCTGTACAGGAATCATTCAAATCACTCATGTACTTTTCAAGTTACGACATTTTGAACACAAAAACTGTTTTAAAGTTCTGTTCACGGATCACAAAAAAATATATGTTTGTTTTTTTCAGCAAAACAAAAACAATTCTCATAGAGATGCATGTGAATTGTTTTCGTTTTGCTGACAGAACACTTACCTTTTCTGTGATCCGTGGACAGAACTTTAAAACGGAGTGTGTGAAAAGTACAAAAGCGATTTGAATGATTCTTTTACTGAAAGAAGCTCATCGATTGGGCTTTCATGTGCTAGATTTTGAAAGTGCTACATGCAAAACTTCCTTCTAAAATTAGTCCTTTCAAACTTTTGTTTGTTGAGTGGTCGGGCACAACGGCGTATAGCCACAAACTTTTCCGTCGCAAAGCCAGTGCAGAATTTTATTATGCCCATGCAAAAGAAAAAAAACGTAAAAGCCATTGTATGATATAATTAGCATATGTTGCATAAACTCGAACGACGTTAGACCTCCGGCAATAGTCCCAACTGGTTGTATGCTTGAGTAGCCATCCATGCAGCACCAGATGTGCGCTTCCCATAGGCCTACAAGTCTTGTCGATGTAAAGCAACAAGTTCAACTGCAGGTTGTGTGATTTTCTTGTGAAAAACACAGGGTAATGGGTGCAGGGTAATGGGAGGGGTAGTGTGCAGTTCAATTATGATTAAGTTACTGTAAACACAAGAAAATATGCCAGCCCGACCACCGTGCGTTTGTCACTCAACAAATGCGAACCTCTAGTTATTATTATAATACGTGTAAAGGTACCACTAAGGAGACACGTTATCGTAATTTCTTCGTACGATGGGAGACATCGGTCATTAGGGAGCCTAATGTCATGCACAGCCCTCCTTTAGAGCACAATTTATTGTCGTAATTAGGTTACATTTGTTGCTCGGGGTCTAATTAGTAAACTTACCGAAAATCGTGGAAAAAAGGACAAGGGAATATTGGGTTAGGGCACATTTAAGTTTGAAAAATTGTGTGCACAAGTCTATGGGGATGTCTGCACAAGTCTATAGGGAGACATTTTCATGTCTCCCTAATTCCACAGCCCCCCTTTAGAGGCAAAATTTTGCCGTCGCAATCAGGTTATATTTGTTGCTCGTGGTCTAATTAGTAAAAATACCGAAATTCGTGGAAAAAGGACAAGGGAAAATTGGGTTAGGGCACATTTAAGTTTGAAAAATTGTGTGCACAAGTCTATGGGGATGTCTCCCAAATGTCCAATCCAGGGTATTGTTTTTTTATTATTATTATTATTATTATTATTATGAACTGTTCAAAATGACCGAGTTCCAAATGAAAACATATTTTCAGAATGAATGTTGTACTATCACACTATTCTTAGCTCAATAATGCACACACAATATTATTGAAACGTGAATATTCCACGTTGCTGAAAACAACCACACGTTTTCAAAATGGTTCGTTTTAGACACTGAAATCCTGTTATACTTTGAAGTTCACCAGTACCTCCAAAATTTCTGACATCTTCTGGAGGTTTTGTTCTTATCATGGGACGTGATGGTACCATAGCAACGCATCACTGAGGATGTGACGATCCGACATTAGCGTCCACGGTTGCTAGGGAGTTTTCAGTCTCGACCTTGTTGTCACGGCAACAACGGCAGAACATCCGCTTGGCGTGTTTCTTGAAGAGGTCGTATTTGAAGGCGTATATGAAGGGATTCACGCACATGTTGCACATGACCATCACGGTCACTACTTTGTGCGTGGTGCTCGTGAAGTCGTAGTCTCGGCCCAAGTTGAAGAGGAGAAACGTGAATTCTGTTGGAGTCCAGCAGATTACGTAAGACATGAACACGAGGCAGAGGGTAGTGGTCACGTTTTTCTTGGCTTGCTGGAAAGTGTTGTTGGTCTTGCCATTGCTACGCCCCCTCAGCGCTAGGATAATGCTGACGTAGGAGAACGTCATGATGGTCAGTGGGATGAGAAACTCGCAAAGGAACAGCACAACCCCCATGATCCTCTGTAGAACCACGCTGGGCCAAAGAGGATAACACACTCCCTCTGCGTAGTACTGTATGGACGGCCAGTAGGCTTGGTATGTCAGGCCGATGATCCATACGAGGGTCATGCCGAATTTAGCCAATCGCTTGGTGAAGACATTTCTGTGTTTTACCGGGTGGCATATTGCCAGGTATCGCTCCAAAGACACGAACACCAAGTTGACCGTCGAGGCTATGAATAGCGACCACATGAAATATTCAGAAATCCACAGTCGACAGACAATCTCACCCCAGACTGTGACGTCATCAGAAGGCGCAACATGTCCGAAACGTATGGCTAAGAATAGTATAGAGTCTCCCAAATCAATCAAAGATTGGTTCAGAATCAGGAGATTGGTTATCGAGCTGAAAGATTTACGCTTGGTAATGAACACGAAACATACCAGTCCATTACCCAGAATTCCCGATCCGCCAATAAGTCCGTACAGAAGTTGTAGAAGTATTTCCCATCCTGTCGAAAGCGTGACGTCACTCTGCACTGTACTATTGGAATAATTCGCAGTTGGGATAGTTTCGGTGACCAACGTTTCCGTGGTACTGACATCCGTGCTAGCCATGTTTCTGTCCGATGGTTTTCAGTTGTTTTAGTATTGATCGTTACCAAGTTTTCTGCAATGTTCAAATAATATAAGTGCAGTTCATCTTTTACCAAGTTGTAGTCCTTAATGCTTAAACAAGTGCTTTTCAATAAACTCAGCCGATGATATACAATGGAAATTTCTATAACTTCAGTCACAAACTATAGCTCTCTCAGCATAAATGACGTACCTTATAACAGAGGTAGCTTCACTCATATAACAAAGTCAAAGTTTATGCTTGGAGTAGTCCGTAAAAGTGAGCAGCAATCTCACTCAAATGGTCGTACCTCGTGTAAGCGTGTGGCGAATTTGGCAACAGAAAACAAGCAGTTTCTGCGTTATACGTCCAGTTCATAAGTCGTACACACCGCAATATTCTGCTAGCTTGACGTCACAATTTATTTTGGCTTGCAAATGGATCGGGTATAATGTTGTCCTTCAATCATGATCTGTGTAAGCACTGTATTCCCTGTTCTGATTAAATTGTCTGCTGCTTCGCCGTTGGCATTAATGTCTTGAGTGCCGTTTATTAATTGCAAGTCTCATGTCTCGCTTCTGATGCACGTCTTCACGATCAAGCAGCTTGCCTCTCAAGGACCCATTCCGCTAATAAATTAAAAATCCATCTCGGAGTGTCGTAGCTGACTTCACATGAATATTGGTCCAAAGAATGACACCAAAATTGTCGCCCAGCGTTAAGGGAGAAAGTTGCACCGTGCCGAGTACGTGATTCCCCCGCCTTGTTCTCAGACTTGCTCGCTTGGTTCGATAATCAGCGTTCAAACGCCGGCAACCGCACCGATTGACCTTTAATTGGCGTAGACCATTGTGGTTTAATGAGTCGGTGCAGTAGTAGACGTTCAAATTATGTCCATTATTGCATGCATGTTTCTTTCATCAATGTGCTATTGCTGTCTGGTAGAATTGATCACCGTTTCTGCATGTATTGAATTAATCATCCAGTGCGCCAGCAAGCTTTGCCGACGTCAATTGTTCACACTCCTACAGCACTCTGTAGTTCCACGCAGAATATCAGAGTTACGAAGCAAACAAGCTAAGACATCGCTCGAACTCAGTACATGTTTGCATTCATCCCCTCCGTACGCTGCATGTTTTCATGTTACATAAGACTAAAACACTTTCAGTCTCTGTCAACATCAGTATGTCATCTCCCCGCCATTGTCACTTCTAACTATCGTTGAAAGAACTTTATCCGAAACACAAATACGTACCACGGCAAATATGGATCGTGTTGATACGGCGTTGTTTATCCGTTTAAGAGTTGCGACTCGTCGGAATAGCTCAGACACAGTGCAGTTCACCCAGTCGTTTTGAGCAGACCGAGTCTGAAACCTAGTGAGCAGATGTTCAGACCTCCATGGTTTCGTTGTAACGACCAGTAGCAATGTTAATTCGTGGATACTTTATGCAAAATGCAAGCAAGTCCCCAAAGCTACATCGAAATACACTTCAAAGCAGACAGTGCGTGCACTTCACTTGCTGGATTGGTTCACTCAGTCGAAAGTGCTCTCAAAACCTGAGAGATATCAAAGTTTCAGCTAAACACCATCATACCGCCTGTGCAATTTCGATAAAGGTACTTGAAAACGGCGATATCTGTTGGGTGTATCCAACTAAATTACGCCTAATGCAAAGATGACTAGCTTATAAAACGGTCACCAACATGTCCCTGTGCCAAGTGGAGCTTGATACAGACAAACACGTGGTGTCGTGACGTACTGCGCAGTAGAGGCAAAGTGGCAGTTCTGCACATATACTCGTTATGTCTGCCAGGCCTATACAAGTATCGATCGATCGCTGATATTTTCTCAGTTTGCAAACCTCTTGTCACTCCTGCGTGTGTGTTGATGAAATCTTTAAATCGATACACGGTCTGCATTAAAAGACACGGAAATGTTCAATTCAAATTTCGTTCAAAAATGTCACATTGATATTTTGGATACTTCATTTAGCAGCATTCATCAACAAGCTTTATTTATAGAGACACAATATTTTGAACTTTCATATTTTGTTGGGTTTTTTTTTTTTGGGGGGGGGGCAATTGCATTGAAATTCCACATGCTGTTCATATAGAACTGGTGAATGTGAACTTTGAATAAGTTCATGTGTAAGCATCATATCGAGGGCTTAAGACCAGACCCGCCCATGTCCATTTTTGGCGAAAATGAGTTAGGTCCACTATTATGAATATTATGTTAATGTTCCTGCGGCAGAAGTGACTATGTCCTAAACTGACAAAAATAGAGGGCGCCCAAGCAAGGTCAAAATTGTTATGTCCGTAATCTGTTCTATTTTTTAAGGCCAAAACTGCCTACGTACAGTGTTTATGTCCATATACTACTTTTTTGCCCAGCCCAAAACTGGCTTTGTCCAGTACTTGTCTAGCACGCAGACCACGTGGTTCATGTTAGCTAGTGTGCATACAGATACACAGGCCTATTACTGTAAATATGCCATGATCACACATACTGGAATTTGTATCCTTGTGGAGTCATTTCTTTGTTCTCGTGTACTAAAATTTCCAGTTTGAAAATCTAGTTTCAAAATGCTCCTTTTTTTAACCAAAATTTATTTCGGACTCAATATCCCTTACATGAAATACTTCAATTTACGATCGATCAACACACCTTAGAAATTCCTATTTTTTGAGTAAAATCCATAATCGTGATAACGTTGTGGAGACGTATTCACAAATAGAAATTGCCCTGTGGAGACGTATACAATCTTTTGTTCCCTATTTTACACATGTTTCCACATTGCACCGTGTATCAGATCAACTTTCTACTCATCTTAAGTGTATGGAAACTAGTTGACATCCATTTTTGGTTACTTTTATTCAAAAGTGCACTTCTTTAATATTCATTGATTTGCCAGACGACTGAGTGCGCTGTTACTATGATGTCAGCTCAGGAAGACACTGTTCAGTTTACGGCTTTTCAGTTCAAATGTGAAACCAACAATGTGCTCATTGAAAACATTTGTGAGAAAAGTTTGCGCATTGGCTTACTGCCGTGCACAAAATGTTTTCCTAAGAAAAATTCATTTCATGGACACTTTAAGCAGCAGCATGATTTTCTGCAATATTACGTAAGCACAACTTTTCCGCTAACTGTTAAGCAGCGCTATGAAACAGGGCCCTGCTTTTCGTAAAACACCTTTTCCCCTTGTTTCATGTGATTTAACTTAGTTCAGTCATTCGTCATGGAGAAGCTCAACCTGCCGTAGGCTTACAGGTTGTATCGATTGACTCGTGTATGCTTTCCAATAACAGCATGCGGCAATCTCAATATCATTAACTATGAAAACATGATCACTAATGACTATGAGAGATTGCACACGTTTTGGTAATGGATTATTAAGTAGGGCCATCGGGAAGCAAACAGTGTTACTTGTGCACAGATCAACTTAAAGGTACATTGTATTATACAACATTTGCAAACATAACCAAAAAACTGCCAAATTATTATGAAATACCTCACTTGACTGTAACTGAGTCTCAAGCATCCTGTGAAATCTTGGCACCTGGTGTGCTGTCATTTTCATTAAAAGTGGAATGTTTTTATCACTTTCCAATGATGGTCACCGACCATCGTTGGAAAAAAAAACTGCCGTTTTTTCCCTTTAAATACTGCCCCCGATTCTCCAAAGTTAGTTTTTCCACATTTTGTTTGCAATCAGTTACACGTCCGTGAATGGTACGGGTGCAAGCCAGCCAGTCTAGTTCTATGATCTGACAATTCCCCGACGTCTATCACTTGCTCCCTTTCGTCTAAAGTAGGGTCAGGAAACCTGCCTAAAAGAAAGGCATATTTTTCTTGGTTTTTCCAGCGTCTATGGACACAAAACTTTAAAGGTCCCATGCAATGAATTTTTTTTAATGCAATCCTTGAAATGCACCTATGTGTCCCATTTTTCGAATGTCCATATCATGAGGAAACTGTGATTTCATTACGAGCAGAAACCTCAATGTTATAGCTATTTCAGCACTAAAAGGTGCTACAATATTTGATATTATGCTATCGTAAATTTTCTTTTCTCGGGTGGTTCGTTATTGTGTCAGTACATTGCAGTAACTGAACCTTTCTCGCAAATCTTTTCAATGAACAAATTTGGGGTTCACAATTTGAACAGAAAACCCCCAAAATGGACTGTGTCTTCCTGAAATGGCATCACAGAAACAGTGCCCTCAACAGTTGTCGGGAAAAAGCATGGCAACTTTCAGTGTTAAGAGAAGTGAACTTTTAAATAAAAAAATAACCAAAAAGGGATGTCAAATGGTTTTCATACATTTAAGGGGTCAGAGTAAAAAGTTGCACAAAATGTGTTTCGAAGAAAAATTCATCGCATGCACCCTTCAAACAGATCAGTGTAACAATATTTGCTGTAGAACACTAACCCCATTGCCAAATTCATCCATGTCTGAAAGAAATACAGCAAATGAAAATGTTGTGAAGGCCTGTTACTTTTAATAATATTAGTAATAGTGGCCATTTATATAGTGCGCCATGTCTGTCAGATTTGACACTCCTGTATGTCGCAATTCCGGGTGCTATGCACTATTGCAATGTTGGCATATACATGTACAACAGTATACTAACATATAAATTTAACACAAGTTAAGAAGTTGGGAAAAGGTAGGTTTTTAACTGAGTTTTGTTTTGTGCACGTGAGCTTTATTTGCTGAGTTCAGGAGGGAGTGTATTCTAGAGTGACGGGCCAGATCTTGAGAACGATCGACTTCCACAAGAGTGGGGTGAACTTGGGATGTGTAGGAGTTGGGCCAGAGTGGAGTTGTCGGGGTTGTTTGTATATTAAGACTTGGATATAATGAAGGTGTTATGCTGTGAAGGGACTGAAAGACGAGAAGAAAAGTCTTGAAGATGAAGACGTCCTTTAGTTGGTAATCTGGGAGGTTGATCAGGAGACAATTGCTGAAATCGAGGCGGGAGGAAATCAAAGTGTGCACCGTGCATTCCGTTACCTTGCTAGTAAGGAACTTACGGATGTGTGAGAGGTTACGTAGCTGGAATCTGATGGACTCAGAAATGCTTGATATGTAATCATTGAGAGTCATGTTCGAATCGATGATCACACCCAGATAATTCCGGAATTTCTCCTTCGGACTGATCTGTGATCGGTGCAAGTCTTATACTTGACTCTAAAAAGTCCCGGGTCAGATTTGACCCGGAATCCTGGTCCTTTCTGACCTGATACTTTTCTGGGTCAAAATGACACCTCTCTGGGTCAAAATGATACCTCTCTGGGTCGAAATTATACCTCTCTGGGTCAAAATGACGCCTCTCTGGGTCACAATGACACCTCTCTGAGTGAAAGCAACACCTCTCTCGATCATATACGGGTCATACTGACCTGGAAACTCTACAACAAGTGTCATTTTGACCTGGAAAAATACCATGTCTAAAGCGACCCGGATTATATTCCAGGTCAACTCTTAACTTTTTAGAGTGTAATATCTCTATTTTCGATTTAGTTTCCTTTGCGTTTTGTTGCTTTTTGTCACAATTTAACACATCAAGGGCATTTTTTTTTCTGTTGTAGATTTTGAATAAACGTGTTTAATGTGTTCCACATTTAAATATCCCATGAAAATAATATATTGCAAGGAGAACACTTAATGGAAGAAAATCTACCTTGAGGATTTTCAAAAAAAATGTATTCACGATGTTTTACTCATGACTCATGATATATCACATTTTGAAAACTTGCTATTTCAATAAGGGAATAAATGATGGGTTGGCTGGTATTAAACACTATGTTTAAAACCGGTTGGATTCTGGATGCTGATAATTCCCCGAGTCGAAGGCGAGATTTATTATCAGCATCCATACTCCAACCGGTTCCATTCATAAATACCTTTTCGGTAAAAAAAGAAAAAAAAATAACAATTAAAAAAATAACTTTTCGGTCCAAAAATCAAAACAAGTCAAAAATAATAAATTTCCAACAATTTTTTTCAACAAGTTCATGATTTTTCGGGACACCCATCTAGCTATTTAATGGTATGTCCAGTCTCGCCAGTAGTGGTAAACAACTCGAGATTGGCTGCGTACTGCTCGATGTGGCGCAGAACGCAGCTGTGCCGGTGTGTTGTGAATTTAGGACTATGAAATGCTTACTCACTGGTAGTATTGCGCGTGCTTACGTGAGAATTGTGAACTCTCAACCGATAAAACGATAAAAGGCAACGGATTTCTTAAGAGTCCAAATTTCATGTGACACTGGAAAAGTGTTTAAGATCAGCCAGCCGGTCTTTGTCATCCGTTTAAAGCCGGCCACGTGACGGGCTCTCGACCAATAGGAATGGGTAAACTGTCTTTGGTATTTATGAATTATTTTTTAAAGACAGCTGACTTTCTGCGGGCCCCGAAAGTTTCCACTAGGTTTTTTATATTTTTTTAGTAACAAACAAGAATATTTTTTCGAATGGCCTTTCGGTACTGGAGAGTACTCGTAACAAAAGTGTCCATGACAAATCGACACGTCAGATTGCTTTCATAATTAGACCACACGCTGTGCTCATTAAAAACCGACGCATGGTGTCATGTCATGAATTGGATGTTTAATCGCTGCAAACAAATCGGAGCCTTTCTCCTTGCTGAAGGCGAGTGCGGTCGTTAACTACGATTAGATGTGATTGCAGGGTTA